AGGGGGGGGGTGGCGTGGGGAGATCATACTCAAGACGAGAATCACTGTTACAGTGTTGGAACAAGACAACAAAAAGGCGTTTTGTCGGCTTTCCCCTTGAACAGAGTTTGCTGACAGAACGCCTTTTTTCCAAAGCCGCAGCGAACAAAAAGGCGTTTTGTCAGCGAACTCTTAAAAAAGGGCGTTTTGTCAGCGTAACCATCTAAAAAAAAGGCGTTCTTCCGAAATTTTAATGTTAATTTATTCAAAAACTAGTCACAGTTCCACTTTGATTTTTTCACACAAGTTGGGTAACAGGTCAGACTATCGATTTAGCAAAAATTTTCAAGCCAAAATGAAAAAAGGCGTTTTGTCAGCTGACGGCAGTGTTGTGCCCGCTCTGCTTGCAGTGTGGCCACCCAATATTAACGCCTCAAACAGTTCCGCTCTGCTGTGCCCGCTCTGCTTGCAGTGTGGCCAGAGCCAATGCAGTTGCAAGCGCTGTTAAACACGAACAATTTAATAAAAACAAAACAACAACAACAAGACAATGATACCCCACGCACGTAGCAAACCTGGTAGGTCTGAATAGAAAGCAAAGTCTGTGTATTCACGTGACGGCTTTACGACAATTAGCCTCCATTTCAAACAGTCACTAGCCTATGTTTTACTTGTAACCATTTCCGTCAGTGCTGCTCGGCACAGCTTGCCTTATCCTGTGTCATTTTGGCTTAACGCAGGCCTAAACTACTTGCCAATATCATTGAATCTTACCTGAAAGAAACAACTGGGATTTGAAGTCGATTTGTGTGGAAATCAATTCCCATCCTTAATCAAGGACTGTGTTTACGACAAATTAGCGGTCTTTACACTTCACCCAATGCTTTTGCAATATTTACCGGAATTTTCTTGTTAAGGTTAAAGGTCAAAATGGACATGAGAAGTGAGAAGCCCCGGGTACGTTTTATTACGTTTATAACATTTGTAACTACTTTTGATGAATCACGTATTATTTATGAAAAGTCACATAGTCTAATTGAATGGTTCAACATCTTATTCTGATTCATTACAACGAGGTTTTCAATTCTGCTATACGCTATGCTGTATGGCAAATCCTGAATTTTGTCAAATGTACTTGAAAATACTCTTCGTAGAGCAAAAGCTCGACATTATATGCAAAAAGTAGTGCCGTTTCTGAAAGCAGCGATCCCAATTGAACTTAGAGAAAGTCTTAAACCTAATGCCACAAAAATGTGTTGACCAGTGGAGAGAGAGAGAGAGAGAGAGAGAGAGAGAGAGAGAGAGATAGAGAGAGACAGACAGACAGACAGACAGACAGACAGACAGAC